CTCCCTAACAGCAGTGGCGGGCCCAGATGAATTACACACGAAAAAAATTCCGTTGCGCCACTTCCCCCGTCCCTTCCTTCGCCGCCATCCGCCCTCCCCCCGGATCATCAACGCGATTGCAATGGAGAAAGGACGCCTGGGGAGGAAAGGGAGCAGATATGGCAAAACAATCCAATGTCTATCCTACCCCCTCGCGTACCCCTCCCMCCCCCCCATCCAGTATGCTGAACGAAGTATTCAAACAGCCCTCTCGCCCTCCCGCCGGTTCGTCGACACGATCGCAAAGGAGAAAGGACAGTGGGGGGGAAAAGGGGGCGGGAGAGAAAGCGAAAACCCCCATCACACTTACCCAACCGTCATTGTCGAGCTTATTGATGTTGTTTTGGTTGTCACCATTGTTGTTATCGTTGTTGTTGCAATCCAGCGTGCACGAATCCACAATTTCCCCGCTTGCACCAGGGCCATGCGCAACAATCGCTGTGTTGCTAGCGCCCACAATCTCGGCTCCGTGGTTGCTGTTGTTGTTGTTGTTGTTGTTGCTGTTGTCGTTGTTGTTGTTGTCGTTGTTGTTGTTGTTGTTGTTGTTGTTGTTGTTGGTGGTGGTGGTGTTGCCGTTTTTGTCGTTGTTTCCGCGCGGGCCCAAGCTCTCGATCCCCTTGTTTGCTCCATTGACCTGCACGCGTTGGTTACCGTTGTTGACATGTTCACGGCTGTTGATGCTTGCGTCAGTATTATGCTCCTCTTCCGTCTCCAAGAACAGGTACCACTCCTCCAGCGCTGCATACACATCCTGCCCCTCCTCGAAGATGTCGTAGCAACCCCGCTTCAGAGCCTCGTCCTGATGACCATCTATGAGACCATCCCATCGCAAAGCCGGCCCCTCCTCCAACTCCCGGATGATCTGCAACATGTTCCTCATCCCTTCCTGGAACGGCGGGTTCGATGAAGCTGCCCCCCCACCAGCCTCAAATCGAGCTCCCAATTGTGATCGCAGTGCACCAACCATCACCCGTAAACGACGTCGAATAGATGAGAGCCTGTCAGCAGCTCCTCGCTCCTCATCTCCCATTGAAGCCATCTGCACATGAACCGCCTTGAAGTCCGCGCCGACAAACTCCCACGCTTCCCTGCCGATCCCACATCTGATGGGGCTGCCATGTCAGTGTCGCCGCGAACGTGGGGCAAGACGCGTGGCTCAAACCGCCCTCCGTCAGCCTACATGGGCGCCCGATCGCGTGGAGGGCCCGGGGAGGCTCCATCTATTGGTGGGGAGCAACACCTGCTGGAAAATGGGTCCAGCGTCCCTATGAACAATCAAAAATCATGTAAACATGCCACGTGTCCATCCTACTGTAAACAAAAGGAGCTCATGCACCGACACGTAGGCGCGCTGCGTTAGCCTAATGAACAGCGACTATTGCTCTCAATCGAGGAATCGGCTGCCCATCACTCCATAAGGTCATACCCCTACTCAGCAATCCCCATCGTGTAATCAGATCTTGCAGCACCATGGGGTGGGGAGGCGACAATCCAAATAGGGAAACTATTGCTAAAACCCTCAATAGGGAAGCCATCGGTAGGGCCATGGCACCCCCGAGTGTTTATACCACAGGGATATGACCCCTCTTCGCGATCTCTCAACGTTCTCTTCTTATTACGTCTGAAGTAGAAAACGACGGAACTGACAGCCGTTTTTCCTAAAGTTTTTTTTTTTTTTTTTAATAAGAAGAAAAAAACGTAAAGGAAGAAAATCAGCGCAACTGACAGCCACTTCCTTCTTTGAAAGGGTGACGGCCTCGAGACATCATGATTGATTGACCAGGCCCAGGGAGTTCATAAAAAAAAAAAAAAAAAGAACCTCAACGGTACTGTTCACCAACGGGCTCGCTGCACTACTCTCGACATGCACACAATACATATATGGCAATGTATCTTTCCATGTTCAAGAGGAGGATTCAATCTCATTTGTTCAAAGATTCTCCAAAAAGAAAAAGAAAGGTTCCAGAGATACGTTACGTGCTTACCTGATTCATTCTCATTTTGCACATTTGGTAAGTAGCGGAGCAACGGCCCTTCGCTCTCCACCACCCAACGTATGAGCAAAATGGGAATGAATCTTCCGCCGGAACATGGAAAGATACACCGCCATATTTTTTGTCCTTTGTGCATGTCGCCCCGCTTCCGGATTCATGTTGGCCGTTGATAAGGGCGGTTTCTTCGGTCCGATAGTGTCAGCACACAGTTCTCTCTCTCTCTCTCTCTCTCTCTCTCTCTCTCTCTCTCTCTCT